AGGGCCTGCGTGGATCGAGCCCCCCCCCCTGAGAATTTAATGACAGTGAATGGACAGAAGATTACTTGAACCTATCCTAGAGGAAGAAAGAAATACCCTCTAACGTGACGTCATATCATAGACCTGAAGGAGAAAATACAAAGGACTGCCAACTCCAGCGGGCGCACGTCGATCTTGCGTCAACCGGAAGTGCCGAAGTTACTGGCACAGATAACTTCCGTTTTGCTGTCGTTCGTATACATGATCGTGCTGCGTGCATAAGGTGTTGATATTTCCTCCTCAAAATGGCATAAATTTCCAGGTAATGATTGTGCAGTTGCTGAAAGCAGCGCCTAAAGACAAAAATAGGCGGGTTGATTTTCTATGGTATACCGAAGGGGCCAGATCCAGCCCAAAAACAGCGAAAAGACGAGGCGGAACGGAATGCGAACGACAAGAATGGAGGCAACACCATGTCGGCCTAGTTAGGAATCGTCAAGATCTGAAGATAACATTGTTTTATAGTAGGCATGATAGGTGAGTTCATAAAATGTGACTATCGGTACATTAGGGTTTTAATGCCAAAGTCTTATTTCTTCTTCAGCTTAGTTGAAATATCGTCAGCTTATCATAAACATTTAGAAGTAGTGCCAAAGAATGGGGTGATAATATTAACATAATAAAAACTACAAAAAATGTAAAAATTAGTAAGAAAAAATGAGTCGGTTTGCTTGTGGTCTGGTCCAGTATTCTTTTTCACTTCACAGTAATTCTCCTTATATTTCATTTTGTGGTATGTGCAGGTGCCAACTTAGCCTACCCACTGAATTTCTGCCCACATCATACATGTAAGTTAATCATCCTAAGTGCATCGAGATGGTTGTTTGAGTTGGTCGTTGACTTGAGTTTTCCTGTGTTAAATTTTTGAAATTTGATTTCTTAAATTGCAATTTGAACAAGTTTCATTTTTTTCTTTGTTCTCATTTTTAAGCATTTTCTTGTGTCTGGCTCCATGTATGGATGTTTAATCCACATTGCACTGCAATGCATGCTTTTTGTTGATGTTCACATGTATTAAAATCCCTCTGGGTAGTTATTGAAACCATTTTTGCAAAGTTTAATATTTTTCTGTAAATTATGAATAAAATGTTACTATTAATGAACATCTTGTGAATAACCAATGTACATTCCTTCACACTAATTGGAATATGGTCTTTTGGTGACTCTGGGATTGTAACAGTTCAGAATGTTGTCACACCTTCAAAACTGGCATTTGAAATGAAAAAAACAATGCAAGTGCAATACATTCTTGAATGCGATGAAGAAAGTGGGGTTTGAACCCCATTCAAGCAAGCTTTTATCCACTCATACTTTGTTGAATCCCACTCCTTAAGGTTGTGCCAGCATCACTTACACCATCCCCTAACTTAGTGGCTCACATGGACTTGAACAATGTGCGAAGGGACGCCACAATGTTGAGGACACAACAGCTACTGACAGCAGACTGCAAGGAGTACACTGATTGATCTTTTCAGAACTTGCAACACCCATTAGGAGCTTAAAACTTTAGCAGGCCACATGCTTCAACCGTATATACAGGATGTTCTGTGCTTGATCCCAGCCTGGCACACTGTGGATTTTTTCCTGAGGGAAGCAATATATAGTGTTAATAAATTTATGTTGCAGGAAAGAAATCACAAGCTTACTTTATATTGCAATTTCCTCATTCATTTCATCTTACCTCCTTGAAAACTGAAGTAGTTGATTTCAAAGAATGAAGATTTTAGGAGGCGTTCTTTAATCACCAATATTAATGCCAGAGTCCACAGGTCAAGTATCATGATGACTAGTGCACATTACACATTTCATCTGTGTCACATAATGTTGTACATGAGTACCTGCAGAATCTTTAAGAACTCTGCTCTATTCCATATCTTTGGGGATACCACTGCCCTCAGTTACGCCACCTACATAAAAGCCTGTCGTGAATATGGACAAATTCAACTAATAAAGAAAGGCGTCTTACAGGATGTTTTAATGAAACCTCAATTTTATTTAACAAAATTGATAGAGACAACTTTGAAACTATTATATAATAAATGAGGTGCTTGAAAAAAATATAATGTTTGTATGTGTACATTGTAAATCTGTTTATTTACATTTTGTAATTCAGAATTTTTGGGGATTTGGTGATTTGCAAACTAATCTGAGTAATGTTTAGAAGTTTTATATTTATGGCTTTTTATTGATATATTGCAAACATACCTGTCAACATAAAAAAATTTAGTTAGCAGGAAATCCTAGAAATTGTTCATAGTCCACTTTCATTTTTGTGGGGTTCATCACATAAAGGGGGGACGGTTCAATATCCCATCCCCATCTAAAATGTGGGAGAATATTTTTACCCTCGTGGGTCATCAAACATACTCGGTCCAAGTAACTTGGACTCCACCAATTGCCATCAAGGATGTCCAAATGTTAAAAATGCAACTCATGGAGTCCAAATCACCAGATTACCAGTAACTAAGCAAAAATGCCATTCCCCCTCCATGCCCTTGTTCATATGACAGCTTAAGAATTAAGTCATACCATGGCCATATGCCCTGTAATCCCTGGCAAGCACCTGGTCAATCATGACTCAAAAAGAACCTGATTTTGTGACCGTTATTTGGTTAAGCAGGAAGTGCTTATATTTTTCATGTTTAGCAAAAAAGGAGGAACCAAATGTACTGTTTGTTACCTGTCCACTCCTGACCACCATAACTCCACTCGGCAACAGTGCCCTTTTTAGAATGTCCTTGTACCTCTGCCCTCTTCTGGATCCTAAAATGGCCCCACCTGCCATACATCAATCATTGTACCCCATTGGACCTAGCCCCATGTATAGAGTGTACATGTATATAATATAGTTGTACTCCTGCATCTGACGCACAATAAACGAAGCAACCATCAGAACAACTCAAGCTTGTGTCGAGCACACGATATTCTACCTGTCAAAATAAGTATGTATCTATACTGAGCATGCTTAGCAGACAATATGGTAAATTAAAAT